TTTATAATTTCAGAGCCAGTGAGGATTATCGTGATTCATCGCAGAGAAACAGGGCTGGACTCAGGGTCCTGAATTTTTGGATTCGAGTCGGCGGCATTGTCTGCTGCGCCGCATTTGTCTTTGTCATGAGATGTTTTCCACAGCCGGACCCGTACAGTCGCTGTAACATCAGCCGCCAGAGCATCTGAGCCTCATCAGGCAGGCATTTCAAAGCTGCTGTCATGGGTGTTTAGAAAGGGGCAGGCCAAGGACAAAGGCGGACTATTGGCAACTTGTCCATTTTGTAGCCCCTTTGAGGTTTCCTAACGACGCCTGTGCCCTCATAGAAATCACGGCAAATTAATTTTAACACTCGCTGAAAAGGCGGATTAGTGCCGAGAGGATGGCACAAAGGGTGTTAAATATGGCAAGCAGCATGCTGGACCACAGGCCAGGCCCGGGACCCATTACCCACAGCTGCCAACACTGACCTATTTTCACCAAACCAGCTTAAAGATTTCTGCAGCCTCTATTGTGCAAAGGCCCTGCAAAGCACACCATTGAAGTCATATCTGCATGACCCCTCTGGATCCCCGGGTCTTTGATGCCCCTCGTAGAGGCAGCGATGGGCTTTTAATGAAGTGTGGCAGGTGATTAGATGGTCCATATTGATCTGGGGGGTTAGGGGCAGATGTTGCAAGAGACAGGCAGGGGAAATAGCTCTGTAAAGAATACAAACAAGGCCCCAAACTATTGTGGTGGAGACTTCAGTGACAGACTCGACCCTCACTCTTCAACCGCGAGAGAAAAGTGATTTCAGATTCAATTATCTTCTTTGCAGGAGGAAATGGCGAGCAGATGGCAACAATAGTCACGGGCCTCACCACCATGAGTACTGTTAGTCGACATCTTTTCTTTGGGACAAATTTACCGTGGCCTCATGAGGTTTTCATTGAAGTGTTAGCACCAGGAGGTAAAGCTTGCCAACAGGTCGAAGGCATTACTGATACCATAAAGGTCCGAAGCATCAGAATATTTTATGTAAACGTCTTCTGACACCATAACCCTTTCCATTTAGGAGCTGCTCTTTCTGCTTGCACTCTGTCAGCTTGATCCTCAGGAGGAAGACGAGTTTTTTGCAGCTCAGGAAATCTGCGTAATGCCCTTTAACTTGCTTTAACCGTATGTTATGTTATGCAAATCAAGTAATGACATGCATGAAGAACATTTCTGCAAAAAATTACCTCTGTTATGCTTTGAATCACGATCCAAAAGAATGTAAACATGCACTAACCAGTAACAAGAGTTTCTGATTGTGTTTGATTGGATAATGAGATGACTAATCTGCAGTTCATGGGAGAAATTATGAACACAAAGACTTGGAGGAAAGTCTGAGTTCGTCTGCTGGCGACCACTATGGGAGCCGAATGAAAACCATGTTTGAAAGACAACCAGTTCTTCTTGAACAAATAAATGACTGCTATTTAAGGGGACATCAATCTGCTGTTTTGGAGAGGAGTGTCCATTTTGGACGGGCAGAAGCTAAACCTCGAGATAAACTCATGGCAGGACTGAACAAGAAGGGAACATGTCTACTTTTGGAGATCGCCAAGAATAAAACAAGAAGAGAAATTCTCACAATAAAAATTTAAGAGTGTTCAGACAAGATACTTAAAAGACTTTCAACTGAATCAAACTGTTGTGTTGTATTTTAATGCTACAGAAACAGAACAGTTACTTTAACATGAGGCCAAAGCGTTCAGTAATACTTTGTAGCTGGCATGGAAAAAGACAAAGTCCTCTGCTGAGTGTGGATCATAACTCACCGCCGTACAACATGGACGTCTGTCTGACAAGAGGCCAAAACGTTGGTGTTTAAAGAAACAGGCTGTGACTCTGAGAATGATGAAACTTCAGCGACACAATGACATCTCCCAAACACCAAATCAGAGCAGAGAAACGCCGTAGAACAAATATATGATAGTTAAATATGTATACTTCAGGAACAAAGAAAAGCTGAACTAAAACAACAGAGGCGCTTCAGCCACAAGGGGGAGCAGCCACATTTGAAAACATGTTTGCTTTGGCTAATATTACTGCAGTTTGTTTCTATTTGAACCAGTTTCATTGTATTTGTAATAATATACATTTCCATATAGTTATAAAGGATAACCTATACGATATGACAGAATATAGTACAACACAGTTTGTTGCAATATGTTATGTTGCATCTCGTTACGTAACTTCATGTCTCCGAACGTTACTGTTTTATACCTTACTTGATGTTGCTGTAAATTACTGTAAAAACATTATGTGAGGTTACATTGTGTCACTTTCAGCTCTGTCCTATTTCTTTACATTACATTATTATATAACTGTAGATTTGTAACAGAATAGCATGTGAGCTGACGTTATGTCCCTTTCTGTTACTTTCTGTTACCGCAGGTTCAGAAACTACGTTACCAAAGTCACGTCACGTTAACACTCTGTTACATTTAGTTACATTACAATATTTTACATGAAGTGACATACTAACTTTATGTTATGTCATGTGACTTTACTAAACATACTGTTATGTTCAGTTACATCACATTTTCTTGTGTTACATTAAACATGCATCATGTTTAAACCTGTTTATTTCTGGTTTGTACAATTTGCTTATCATCATGTTTTGATTTCAATCACCCGTCCCCTTTTGGATATTACATCCAACACTCACACTAGCTTTACTATCACTTGCAGAAAAATCGATTGACAGGACGTAAACTTGATTTTTAAGGTAACTTGAATGAAAAGGTGCAGTCTCATTCTCCCCACCTTAATATTATACGTTTATGAGTCTTGTCTGATGCCATCTTTGTGAGCCTTATATCACAAGCATAGCTCTAATACTAACACTGAATAATCAGCTGTGAAAACCGTCAGAAGCTACGCCTGCAGACCGCCAGCATTTGAGGAAGCGGGTCAGTAATCCTTTAATTTCACTGAATGAAGCGTCGAAAGGAAACCTGAACCGCCTCAGCAGCTGAATCAGAGAACGACCACACAATAGATGCTCATTTCCTGAACTGAATAGACCCTAGAAATGACCTCCAGCTTATTCATCTTCTCCACGTCCATGACACGTATTTGCATGACACAGAGTTTTGTCCATGTTGGGTTCTTGCAAAGGTCCTGTTTGTGAAAATACATTCTTATCATGTATCAGGGGGAAATGAGTGACTGTGTGAGCGCATTGTCTGGAGAACTGCTCATTTAAAAACACAGCCAGAAAATCCAGGTGTTCATGTGTCAGCAGGTATACACGCAGCACTATGAAATACCACCAGGATGCTTGAGTGAGGGACAGCTTTGTTTGAATAATCTGAAGGCGTTAGTGCTGTAAAGACCATTTTCCTGATATGTTTCTGTAATCCTGTTAATCCCACGCTTCTTTTTTGCTGCACAGACATAATCTCCTCTGTCCGGTGTTCAGTCAGAGTGTTAAAAAAAAGGAGTATTTGTGTGTTTTTCCTCCCGTGCTGACGGTCCTCTCTGGAGGCCATAATGCTGCCTGTCTAGTCACGCCAGACGGCAGCAGGCTGTTTTAGTACTCAGGTTGCTGAAGGTCGCTCTCTCACCTTGACCCCACTGAAACACGAGCTTGAACACAGTCGGCCCCATTTCTTCAAATAGCAACATCAGGTTTTCCCTTTTTTTTCTCTCCAGTATGTTTTAGTGGAAGCTACCAGGAAGTACGCAGTCTCATTTTCAAGTATTTGTTGATCTTTCTTTTGGATCCTTCACCCCTTTCCCGCTTTTCTCTGGATGTTTCTGCGGAGTTACGTCTGCTGCTCGTCGCTGTTGTCTTATATTCCTCTGTTTGTTGTATCAGGGATGAACTTTCAGGCCATTAAGAGCTGCTAAGAGCATGTGATCATTACCACTCAGACATGTAAGAGCATGGGACTAAAAATATGCAGCAACTAGGGACAACAAATGCTGTTGAGACACTTTAAATTATTGTTGATTAGACACCAAATACAAGTGCGTCTTAATAAATTAGAATATTAAAAAGTTTTTTTTTTTAATCTAAAAAAGTAGAAATACAGATAGTTTTTTACTTGTGACATGTGAAGTAAAATATTTAGACTATTTTTTTATTTTATTTTGATCAATCAATCAAATTTTATTTATATATTTGATTGATTGATCAAAATAATAAAAAATATTTTGATCAATCAATATATTGTCAATATTTTTTTTATTATTTTGATGAAAATTTGTAACACATAAATTCAGAATAATTCTTAAAATTGAATCATAAAGGATTTAAAATGTCCTGGTGATGCTCGATAAATAAGAATATTAAAAAGTTTTTGTTTTTTTTTATCTAAAAAGGTATAAATCCAGATCGTTTTTTATATTGTGACAAGTAAAGTGAAATATTAAGTCTTTTTTATTTATTGTTTTTTTTAAAGAAAATCAGAAATGCTGTCACGCATAAATTCAGAATGTCTGTTAAAAATAAATCATAAAGGATTTAAAATAAGCAGGTGATCCTTGATAAATAAGAATTTTGAGTTTTTGTCATAAAAAGTAAATATTTTATATATTTTAGGCTCTCTACATTCAAATTTATTAGTTTAATACTGCAGATTAACTTTTTTTATGATATTCTGATTTATTGAAATGCACCTTGTATAATAAAATCCAAACAATAAACTGTTACTGTGTTTCAAAAAATGTGATTATAATTTATTCATTTATCAGAAAGCCAGTAAATATGACTGTTCCTCTGTTCCTGTGAGCATTTTCAACTTTATTTCTCACAGCTTTGAAGGACTGCATCACACTGAACACCAGGGTCCCCTGCTCCTCCTCGCCTGGAGTCACTCTATGGTTGATCTTAAATCCCTCTTCAGTGAGGACTCTTTGCTCTCTGACTGTTACGAGCTCTCTGAGTGTTTGTGAATTGTGGTATGAGTTGTTTGTCCCTGAGCATCCATTTACACACAGGAGTTGAACTCCACTGTAGCTCTGGTCTGACCGCAGGGCAGACTGGGGGTCAGAGCGAGGTCAGAAGAAGGGAACAGGTCAGTATTGTCAGTTTGATTAGGACTCATACTCTTTCACAAAACCCCTGTCCCCCCCTGCCCCTCTTAGCTCATCCCGGTCTGGGTGGAATGCAGCGGAATCTGATGGCAGACAGGAAGTCCTTATTGTACTCGCGCAAAGATCCCGGAGCCAGACAGCATACGGGAGCGATGTCATCCCTGGCCGGGCCAACATATCTTTGTGCCTGCTCACTGCGTAACAAAGACGTAAATAAACACTGTTACCCCCACCGGTCTTCAACTGTCAGTCCAATTAGGCAGCGTAGTGATCGAAAGCCACGGCCTGTGTTTTTCCCAGCCGCGCCGTTACCTCTGACCCCCGCGGCTCGTGCCTGAGGTGATTTTCTTTATTAGTCCATGGGGTCAGTATTTAGCCCCCGTAGCCATCAGTAGCAGGCTTAAATCTGCAGAGTCAACACTCTGCCTTCCTGGCTGTTAGCTGCATTAGCACACTGAAGCCCCGCAGCCCTCCCACTCCCCAAACATCCTCCCGCAGGCCTGATAACATCTCTGTGCGTTCGTGTATTCATGAACTCCGAGGCCGAGTCCTGCACATGTTGGTGCAAAGAGGCTTTCTAGGAAGTCTGTCTCTGTGACACCAGACAAAGGTTAGCATCAGTAACAAGTTTAGAGTTGTGTTAGATAAGAAATCTCTCTAAACTGTTTGACTCCGCGCTCGCTGACTGATCGCTCTTACCTGGAATTGTTTTGGAGGACTAATAATAGAGAAATGGAAAAGCACACCTAAAGGCAGCTATTTATCTTCTGTTCAAATAAATACCTGTGGTTTCCCTGACAAACTCTGGATAATGCTGGAGGTCTTGACTTTGTAAACCCTGTAATAACTCGAGGCTGAGGCGAAGACGTCAACAGAGCTGCGACCGAGCGCTTCATTTTCCAGGAAGCCAAGCCTTTGGGATTGAAACAGTAAATGTTTTGTTACCGCTATAAATCACGACATTGTTTAATTAGCATCCTTCAAATTCTCATTCACTGCGGTGCGCCTCTGCGATGTTTCCCTCTTTGGCTTTTACATTTTTCTCAAGATATTCCACCCATCCATTCTGCCACGGAGAGACAGATAGAGGCGAGTGGTAATTACACAGGAGGGAAATCTGGTGAGGAAATAAAATGGGCCATTGTGATAATCCTCTTGGAGGGATTTACAATCCCGAACAGATAAAGAAGAACCCATTTGCTTATCTGGCTTCCCTCATTACACACTGCTTTTTTTAAACCGTCAAAACAATGAACATAATAACAACCGCCGTCGCAGATAAGACTCAAAATTTATCAGTTTGACAAGTTTTCAGTCACCGCAGAGTCCTCCTCTCTCACAGTAGGGCCTCCTTTTTGTGTGCAAACATTGCATCCTGATTTAAGGAGTGGAGAAAGCTCTGAGATATTCAGGATAAGTGCGCTTCCATTTATGACTTTTACTGAAGTGAAAGTAAAACCAGCAGTTTTTCAATCTCCTCATGTAAAAGTCAGAAAAGAAAGTTCTTACTTTTAATCCATGACAGCAGGAGAGGAGGAAAGATTTCCTCCAGTTTCTGTAGCAGCATTTTTCTCTAAAGTTATTGTTGTAATAAAACAAACACCAATATGTGAGGTGATCCTGACGCTGGACTATCAGGAGGGAAAATACTGAATATTTCCTGCAGCTTCTCCTCTCAGTTTTGTTCTTTATAAGTGTTAGCATCTTCACATTTTATTATAGAACACGTTCTTCTGTTGGTACTGTCTCTAACATCCATCAACATATTAAACTTTTGATTTAGTTTAGTTGAACTTCATTGAGTTTGGTTTGGGAACTTTTTAAGGGGAAATCCAGAAGAGGTGAGGTGGAGGTGTGACCTTTCCCCCGAAACTTGACTTCACCCTACTCCTTTTTAAACATGATCATGACATTGGCCGATTATTGCCTGTTAGGTTTGTCTCTCATTTTATTTTATTATTATTATTTTTTTATTATTACTATTATTATTTTCTTTTCATAAAGCCTTGTTTTTTGTTTTTTATTTTACTTCATCATTATTTTTATCATGTTCAAATAAAGATAAAGATAGTGGAAACCCCACGTCTGCAACACCATGATGATATGTAATACAGCAGTTAGTGTCTTTTTTACAGACCTCTAAATTTCTACAGTTCAATATCAAGTATTTATGCTGAATAACCAGGCTCTCAGGTGAACGCCATATCCAAACTGTTCGATCCAAACTGGGTTAGGTCTCATAGCGGGGTTACTCGAGTCCCTCTTTGATGAATTCACGATCCTCCCTCTCTCCTCTGACCCTGAGCTCCACCTGAACCTAATCTCTGAGGGCATCTGAGCCATACAAACCCTGTCAGCCTGAGTAAGACGATGCCTTGTTGGTGGTGGTCTCTAAAGACCAGCAGGGACAATGGATCAAATGCAAACGGAGAAGCTTTGAACTATTGTTGTCGCTCTCTTTCCCTTTATTGCTCATGCCCACTGTGACCCTCTGCTCCTCCTCTGCTCCCCATATCTCGCTCACTCAGTGAAAGTGCCTCTCTCTAGAGGAGGGGGACCTCTCTGATTTGCCTATCTCATCTACCTGCGACCCGGATAAGGGTTTCTCCTCTCCTCCACTGTTCCTGCTCGCTGGTGTTTTTAATCTGATAGAAATCTGCTCGGAGTTCCCCTGAATCCATCTGACTGCACACACAAAAAATAGCACAGCTCGGAGAGAGTGGGTGTGTAGGTAGATGAGATTCACTTTGGAGGAAGGAAAAGGATTTGGGAATAAAAGATAACATGAAGCAGGATTTCCTGGAATCCACATGGTTATCAATTACGACGTGAAGAAAAGCCTGTAAATTCTTCTTCCTCTCTTGCAGCGCCCTTTTGTTCGAAACTGTCTCTCTCTGCGTCTTTGCTCCCTAATAAAACATGAGCCATGAAACATCAGTCATCCACCAAGCGCTCAGATACAAGTGCACTCAGGAGACGAGCTTGGCGAATATGGTCGCAATATTTAACAATAACAGCTTCGTAACTGCATGGTCGCAAAAAAGAGACATAAAAATTTCATTATGCATTTTCAGAAAATAAGCCATGCACTGACAGCCGCCGAGAGAAAAGGCGAGCTGGAACAGTGAGGGCTTATTTGTGTGTCTTTATTGCAGAGGACTGCCAGTTTTCATGAATAACACAATAAAAGAGTCGGGCGGCGCTTCAGAAAGCTTTCAGGTCTCCAAATGTTTGAAAAATGGGATTTTCTTTCGCCAGAGGAATCCCAAGAAATCTGATCCTTGGATATCAATCTCTGTCTTCGCGATAAAGACACTGATGACAGAAGAGTTGATCACCAGCTTAGGGTGGGGTCCGTACATATTTGTCTGCACTTCTACAGTAAATGCTGCTGTCTCCACCCAAACTCAAACCGCTCCACAGACTTGTCTCTCTTCCCGAGCTGTCTGCAGACATCAAGTCTAACATGTCGTACACGCTGCCTGCACCTTCATCCCATCAAGCGTTTCCACAAGACAGGACCGCGAGGAGCCTGGCCTAATGAGAAAACAACGTGTGTGTAATCAGCTTGAGAGAAGGAGGGGAATTCTCTAAACCTCAGTCAAGCTATCGCTGGCAGACGCTGCTTATGATACAGGCTTGTCAGCTCCTGCCAGCTGGCACAGGCGCTCCGGCAAAACCAATGCCTGGTGGTTAATGGATCATAAAGGTTCGCTGGGAGCTGCTTCACAGCTCGACTTGATTTAGCAATGTAACACAAACCCATTAGTGCTGCTTTTCTGTACGAGCGAGCGTGGCGTTCAGACTCCTCCACAGACGCACAGGCCTTGTAAATAATCAGGTCTGGGCAAGTTGCACCCAAAAAAACAGCTACTTGTTTCATCAACAAGAAATGATACAGCTTATCACATCATAACAACAAAATTATTGGCATGGGAAAGGCAATTATTCTCAACTGCTTCATGTAAAACCACAGGAGCAATTTCCTAACCAGCCTGTCCACAAAAACGATCCATTAAAGTCATAATAACGCCCGTGTTTGTAGCTTATTAGAGGGCTAAGTGCACTTTCCACACACCCTTCACAAAACCGTCTGCATTGTTTTTCAGCTCTACAATTATCCAATAATAATAAGGCTGGATTAAACCCTGAATATACCATTAATGTGAGAATGAAGCTCCCTCTTACCTGAATGAGACGCTCCAGTTTAATTAAAGACGTTTCTCAAGCCCTGACTGTCTCGGTGTGAAGATCAGTGACACGCTGTAGGTTGCTGCGTTGGCACGAGGACAAGTCTGGTTGGCTGACAGAAAGGGATTAAACCGTATTAAGAGTGTCCAGATGCAAGGCCACAATCAAACTAATACTCTGACACACTGACACACTGCACTGAAGCCACACAATGATCCAAACCTGAACTCTTACATCCTCCTCCTCCGCTGTTATGTTCAAGTGTTTGCACATCAGATCTCAAATGTAAACAAAGACAGCTACATGCTAGCTCCAGTAGCTAGCAGATAAAGCTTTGTTTTTACACATGTGCTTTGTATCTTTTGGCTGTCTGTAGGTCTGTTGTTTAAAGCTGATTATGCTACGCCAGATGGACACCAGTGGCCACGCCTCCTCCACATCAGCAGCCCACCCCTCAAGAAGGGACAACATCTGGGTCATGACCGTGAATGAAGATAAGAGGTGAGATTAAACGAGTATCAAACTACATGTAAGAGTCTATAGTGGCCTTAAAGGTCAAAATACATCAGTGTATAAAATCACAAAAATCGACATTAATTCACCGACACTACGACATTTTATACAACTTCACATTTCACAGTAGAAAAACGTATTTCAAGACACAACACTGCAAAGTATTATCGATCTAAAACACGTCACAATTATTTAAAAAATGAAAAGGAAACATAAACAAACAAAAAACAAGAATTTCAGCAAAACACGGTCTTTGGAAAAAGCTGATATTTCAGAAAACATCACGAAACAATCTTGGAGCATGCTGTTTGTCAAAATACAATGTTATACAGGGTCCACAAATGTCACAACATTTCAGTTAACGCAAACAAAACACAGTATTCAATAAAAAAAATAATAATTAAAAAAACATATTATGAAAAAATGACATTAAAAAAATGAAAGAAACAAACTTCTGAAAACAACAATCAAGAGAACATTCACAAAAAACACATTTCCCAAAGCGTGGCACCTGCCGTCATACCGAAGCTAACAAAAACATGACATTTCATAAACGCACAACATGTCCTTCAACACAACACATTTTCAGGAAAACATGACATTTGACGAAAAATGACATTTCACAAAAATAAGACATCCAGCATTGCACAACTTGAAACAGTTTTTAAAACACGACATTAAACAAACCACAACATTTCATGAAACACAAATTTCTGTGAACACATCTGAGGAAATTCAACCTTTTTTTGGGACACGTTTTGTGAAATATGGCGTCCCACAGAACATGACATTTATATAACAAAATCTATGATTCCACAAAACACAACTTTTCATAACCAATTCAGGAAAACTGACACTTTTGAAACATGACATTGTACCTGTCACAAAAGAAGATATTTCGTGAAATGATTTATTTTCTGATATTTTATGAAAATAATTTAAGTTGGTTGGTGGGTTTTTGGAGTGTTGCCCCGAGAGTCGCGTTCTCATTTTGTTTTTGGACTTATCCGGACAGGAAATAGCTTACATTCAAACATCTATTTTTAATTACTCTACCTTCTCTTAGTGATCATTTTACAAAGACAGAGTTAACGAATCTGTTCAGTGATAAGAAAGCCCAGATATCCTTAACCGGCGCTCTTAGGCCGGTCTTTCTCCCTGAACACCCTCCCCTGGATGTCTCCTGTGACCCCTCAGACTTCCCATAAATCTGCTGAGTGATTGCGGTGGTCAATTAACACTCGGTGAATTGATCCCGGCAGAGAGAACGGCCACATCCGCAACAACGAGAAACCAAAGCCGCGGGTTCACTCCGAGTTCTGCGGTAATAACAAGGTGGACCTGGTACAATGAAAAATGAGTTCAGGCCTAAAACTATAATAGCGGCTATTGTGCTGGTGGTCACCCAGTCGCTCAAGTGCAATATTCAGGAAGGCCATTTCATTACATCCAATAGAGCCCCAATCATGTGTAAAATTTGCAGTTTGAATGGACCTGCTGTCATATCAATCATCAGTGGAGGCTAATGGAGGTCCTTTCTTCCTGCTGGCTCCTTTGGCTCAGTGTAGGCCTTTTATTAATCAAGATAGGCCTCCCAGTGATTATCATTGTGCTGAACCAGGCTGCTTACACCAATATGTTTTCTCAAGATTAGAGGAAAACACAGTCTGTTCAGCCGGAGGGAAGAAATCAGTCAAAGTGAGCAGCACGTTTGATGTCGGGTCAGCAGGCCTGCGAAAAGTTTCTGCAACATTTACGTCGGAAAGAAAGACTTTATAGACGTAAATATTTGGATTTACTTGTCTTGTAGCGGCAAAAGATGCTGTTTAGGATAACCAAGTCCATGCATTGGATTTTTTATTCCTCTGCATCCTGGTTTTGCATGTATGGGAGAGGGGGACCTGGACATTTGTTTTCAGAGCTATCATTAAGTCAGAAATCTAAAACTTTGGTTTGATGAGCAAACTAAACTCTAACTTCTTCCCCTGTTGTAATTTGTTGACCTGTTGACCTCTACCTCTGGCTAATGTTGACCTCCATAATGTTTTAATGCTCTACTACCTGGATGTAAACAAGCACAAGTGACCTCTCGTAATTCAGTCCACACTGGCACTATTTAGATCTGGGAAACAGAGATCAAGCTGAATGTGGGCTGTGGTGGATTATACCTGTAGACCGTAGGTGGTCGCCATATTGGAAATGCCAACTTAACCTAACTTTCCGTCAACCTACCAGAGGCGGGGCTTAATCCTCCTCACAAATTGCTTCAAGGTACCTGCCTGTCAGTCGAGTTTGTGCCTCTGATTGGCCAATCTAGTAACATTAATAACTTTGAAACAAACATGCCAGAAAAATGAAAATGTTTTTTTTAACCGGGCGCTTTTGGTTCAGTGCTTTCTGGTGCTTCTGCAGACTGCCTCGAGTGGACACTCAGGGAACTGCAGTTTTTAGCACTTGTTCCTGCAGCACATCTCCAGTATCAGGGTTAACAGCCACAGCAGTGAACACATCATTGTTACACTGTCAAGGTAAGTGTGTTGGCTCACTGACAAAAGCCTGGCTTTGCTCAAACCAGTCTCAGAGAGCAGCTTGTAGCCTTATTGTAGACTCTTGGATTTGTTTTCTGCTGTGAATAATCCTCATGGAAGAGATTTTCATTCAGGGAAGAAGCAGCCAACACCCCATGTTTGGAGAAGTTTTTCTTCAGAAGCATACTGAGGCAGTGTTTGGCTGTATATATGAAGTTTGTGCATGAAAGGAGTTCAAAAACCCTACCAACTTACTTTACATCAAGATTTGACGTATCCCGTGGTCTGCTATCTCTCATGGGCTCTATGAGGCATGAATGGCACTACTTTATGAATGCAAACAAGGGGAAGTGTGCGGTAAAGATCAAATGCTGACATTTGAGATTCACTCACAGCTGCAGGAAGCGGAGGAAGCCCCAAAAGGGAAGTGATGCAGTTGGGATATTTGCAGTGATGATTCACAAATGCTCTTAAATCTAGAGAGCAGACGGTTTCATCATCACTGAGAAAGACATTTCAAACGGTGCAGAAATGGGTTTTGACTGTTTTTCTCTGCTTTTGCACAAATTACTGCAATAAGTTGAAGCTGTGTTGAGGTGGAAACGTGGTGCAACGCCCAAAGAAACTGCAAATCTGGGGACGATGCAAAATTAAACACACGTGCAAAACAATAACAACAACAGGCGAAGGATGGAGATGAAATCAGAGAGCCCAAACAGATGCATCAAATGAGTAATTTGTGGTCAAATCACTCTTGGATTGAGATGATTGGAAAGTTTTCTTTATTGTTCAGAAAATAGATTTCACAGGGTCACACATTTTCAGTGGGAAACAACGGGCGACCCGGTTTTTAAATGATTCTGCAGCTTTTGTTCCTCTGCTCCTTTTGCCCATTAATCCAAAGTGACTTCATTTGTGGTCTCACTTTTGGGTGTGTGTGTTGGTTGTTGAACACATTAACTTTGTTTACAGCTGTTGTGACTTGGAGTGTGGAAAATAGGTGGTCAGTATCCCCACAAAGCCTTTAATTTTCACTTTGTCGGCCTCGTTCTTTATGATGCTGCGAACAATTATGTATACAAAGAACATCCCATAAAAGACACTAATATAAACCTTTTATGACGGCAGACAATCTTTTCCCCAGCACTAAGACATTAGAGCGAGTCAACACATGACTTCATCAACTCTATTTTATCTCCCGAGTGAAAAAGTACACCCTGCAAGGTGCTTGGCAGGGAATCAAAAGCAGACACTTGCTTTATCCTGTGAAACGTTCGGAGTGTTTTCCGGAGAGTCGAAGTTTCTGCAGCTTCCCAGATCCCTTCTTTGGCTTTTGGTTTCTAGTAAAAAGTTTTAATGTCTAGACTTTGCACCAAAATAGCAGCTCTGAAAGGATTCAGCTGAGTGTAAACCGTCTACCCACGGGATTGTTGTACTTTCTCATGAGTTAAAAACAGCTCTCTTCCATTCTGTTATTTGACTTCACAGTTCAGCTGAGCTGTCAGCAGAAATCCTGATGTTGATTCAGCGATGAGGACGGCTGAGCTGTCAGCGATATCTGATCCAGGTTTAAAAGCACAAAAGGGACACAGAGATGTTTACCGAGGATTCACCTTTAAAAATTCAAGAAACAAACAAATTCAGAGGAGTCAAAGAAGTAATCACTAATTATTTGCATTAATTTGTTTTTTTGTTTTTTATAAAGAGTATCGCTCAGAGGCCGGATTAGCAAAGCCGTGCACACACCTCTGCTCCAGAATCAGAAGGTAAACATTGTGCAAGAACTTCAGAACACATCGAGAAGCAGCTTTACAGTAATCTGGCGCTCCACCAACAATAACGCTTTTTCTTTACCTGTAAGAGCGTTTTAGCTAACCCCGCGAGGCTGATATCACGTCTGTCATCGAACAGATCAGAGCCTCAAGCTGATCCACTCGCTCCCTGACAATCAGCGCCATTCGAGGACAAAAAGTCTGAGCTATAGGTGGATGTAGAGGTGGTATCTTCGAGCCTGTAAACAATGGCGGCTCATGTAGAGATTAATGTAGATGCAGCTGAAGTGTCAGGTTTATTTGAACAGGTGAAGTGTGATCTCTGCAGAGATATAACCTGAAAAATTGTCAATAAGTTTGATGTTACAGTAGTTTTTCAGATGGTTTCTGCTCCCAACGAAGTCTTACTTTTATTAAACAATCGTTTCTCTATAATCCTCGTCAAATCCACCGTTACTAGTCGGATAAACCGACAGATGTCATCACAGTCACAGTCTTTAAAAAGTCCTCCACCGTATTATTTTAAACTGTTTTTCTTGCAGTGATGCTTCATTATTCTTACCCAGATATTGGTGTGTGTTTGTTGAAACCCAACTTCAGCGTTTTTACGATTTACCAGAGCTTTTTATTTCCACTGGACTTGTTCTCTAAATTTTATTTGAAAGGGGGTTTGCCTGCAGAGTTTGTGAGTCAGGCTTCAGCTATCCCCCCGTCGGACACTAATGAACACTGACAAACAGCGAAGAAGGAATGGGATCCCTGAGCGTTCTCCACAGGCTCTATAGAGAAATCAATTTATCACAGGCCTGGTGAAGAGCCGTGCCAAGCTTTTAACTGCAACACAAGACGCGGGCCGTGCTGCTAACAGGGGGCGAGGATGAAGATTGATGGCCAGATGAAGCTCTATTATGACTAACCTCGCTCGGTGGTTTTCTGACGGTGCCGCCGCGCTGCTCTAAGGAGAAGAAGCGTGACCCTGCCAGCGAGAGTGACAGGAGGGACTTGTGAGTGGCACGGCTACATACTGAGGATGTTTGTGGGGTCTGGATGATCTGATGTGCGCCGAGTTGATCTGCAGTCTACAGACGGTGGCCCGGCTCTGGCAGAGCGCCATGCTAACAAACCCCAGCTTCAGCAGCAGAGAACAGATCGTCTCCACTCTTATTCTGAGTAATGTCTGCCTCTCGTTCATTCGTTTGGGCGGCGCATGAGAAGTTTGCAGACACGGGGGCCATGCCAGAGGTGACATCACACCATATTTCCTCCTCCTCCTCCTCCTCCTATGAGGCAGCCTGCAGCAGGATGTTTAAGGAGGGTGACACGACAAAACCACCTCTGCTTACGAACGTTCACGTGTCAACGCCCTTTTTATGTGCAGGGTGTGAGAGCGTGTGCGTGCCGTTACTTGTGCCAGATTGTACGTGTTTAAGATGGTTGGTGTTCAGCGTTTGATGATGGAGCAGCTCTGTAAAGTCATTTTCCTCCGCAGCGATGTTAAACACCGAAGGAGCGAATTGCTTAAATAAAACCGAGATTTATTGGACCGCTGAGGCATTATTCTATTTTCTCTGTACTTTTTTTAGGAGGTAGAATAACTCCGCTCTGAGATCCACTTCCAAGAAAGAGCTGTGAGTGACTGTGTCCATGCCTGATAGGTTTCCAAATTACATACATTAGAGAGGATCAGAGTTTCCTCACAGAGGGGGCAGGAGGCTCGTTTTCAGGCTGTAAATTGTCCTTTTGGTGACTTTATACGAGTCTTACATGAGTTCTTTACTTTCTCAGGTGGGGGTCTTTGAAAACCCTTATTTCAGCCGGGTTTTACTTCTAAAATTAGACCCAGCACTCTGGAAGCCTCCCCCTCTGTTGCCATACTACAAAGACAGTGAGATATGGCCATATTTTGTAGAAAGCGAAGAGAGGGGCCAAAAAGACCGAGCAACAAAGAACAGGAACTTATTATAATTATTATGCCCCTTTAAGGGAATGCAGCAATCATGTAGAGCTTACTTATGGTGCGTTCCAGTTGTACTCGAAAGTCAGGATTTCCGAGCACCGAGTCTTTCAACTGGAACAATCCCCGAGTTGACGTTTAAAGATGGCGGCGCCGGTTGTAAACAGTAAATAGAAGCTCCTGTAATGAGGAAAAAACAGGCTACCTTCTGCACTTTGATGTTTCCTTTTTATCCACAGTGTTTGCAGGTAAGAATAACTTTCATAGATGTTGCCATCTTGTTTCCGCCTCCATTTCTGGCCGTTGGCTACTTTTTTCCGAACTGAAACGCCGATAACTCGAGTGTGACGTCATTCCCAGCTCCGACTTCCAACTTCCGAGATAAATGGAACGCACCAAAAGATCTCATGACTTTTTTAAAAAGCTGTTCAGAGCAGCCTTCAGTCTTAACATAGCCCCCCTCCCACTTTGAGATCACTTGTCTGAAATGTAGAAGTTTTCTCCATAAATCAGTTATAGATCATGTCTATTTTCTTATAAGTGCATCACCTGTAGTGGAGTTTCAAATTTCATACAGGAGTTTAAAAACTCGCCTAAATCGCATCTGTTGCCCACTCCTCATCTTTAAAAAGAATGATGTTACAGA